AATGGCAAGGAAGTCAAAGGGTTGCTGAAAAAGCAGTAACTCCAAAAGGTTACCCAACAGTCCTAACTCCACATCTTGTTAGGATTTAGATTCAGCCTGTTTTCTTCCATCCAAGCCCATCCAGCCTCCAGACACCAAGTCAAGGCTTATGCAGCATCTCCAGTCTGGCCCAGAATGAAGATATACAATTGGATATCATCTTCAATACCAAATTGACAGATTAGCTCCCTCAAGGGTTTCATGAAGATTTTACCTAGCACAGGGAACAGGACTGAGATATGCAAAACCCCAAACATACCACTGCTTAGGAAGGAGCATAAGCATTACAAAACAATGCCCCCCACCCCTAACTTTCACAGCTGATCCAAAAGGATACCATGGTCACTTTGTCAGTCAGGTTGCATACAAGCTGAGAAACAATAAATAAACATAATATAATGTAATGCTGCTGAAAGATCAAGTAGGACCTGAAGTTATACAATCCTTCCATCCAGATCATGGCAAAGGCCATTCCCCAGAATGACCAATGCCATTTCTTTTCGATGTCCAAGCCTGAAACCAAACTGGAAAGAGTCCAGACAATGTGCTTCCTCTAGAGTATTCTGTAACCGGAGCCTATCAGCTTCTCAACAACCTTTCCAATACCAACACCCAGGGCAATTCCAACACTAGCACCCCCAACCTGGCAATGAGGTTCAAAAATTCAAGCAAGGATTGTAGTGGACAGAAAATGAGCAGTACACAAATAGGCCCCCCAAGCTGTTCCTACAGCTCAACAAAACTTACTCATATCTCATGACTAACAGCAGGAGCCCAGTTACAGCTAAATTGCAACCTTGGAATCATGGATGCTGAAGACCTGAAACCTGAGACAACAAATCTCGAGAGGATCACCTCCCTGCTCTTATCTAGCCAGGCTTCAATAACACACACTAGATTTGCACGTTCATTCACTATCAAGTCACAGATGAAAGTCTTATTGCAAACGGATATGACATTTATCAACATCAATTTGAGATATGGTTATCAGCAACCTAGCCTTCCAGATCCAGGGATGAGGGTGTGGAGTTGGAAGAAGGGCAAAAAACTGCTCATTTCCTTGCCTGGTAATAGCCTAGCCAACACTTCCTGCCATACCTCCTCCACCATATCAAAATCCATTCATTCTTTTAAAGCCCCCACAAACACCACATCCCAGCATCTGACTGCAATCTACCAGAATTTCCACAGGGGCACAATTACCTCAAACCATCGCACCCCATACATTATGATTCCAGTTTTATATGAACCTTAAAAAAACTGTTTATATAAGAATATTTTGTACACACTATTGTATTATCTGAACTGGGAGATCCTTAAGGGAATCACTCATGCTTTGGTCACTTTGCATTTGGCCTACTGCAATATACTCTACATGAAGACCATTCAGAAGCTGCAGCTGGTCCAGGACACAGTGGCACGGGCAGTTATGGGCATGCTGTGCTATGCCATGAAACACTCTTTTGGGAGCTGCACTAGTAACAAGTAGACTTCCGGGTATAATTCAAAGTACTGGTTATCACCTATAAAACCCTTCATCGCACAGGGCCTGGTTACTTGAGGAACTGCCTATCTTCCATAGTTGCTGCCCATCCTATATGATCTGGCTGAGTCAGCATGCTCTGAGTCCTATCATTTAAACAATGCCATCTTATGGGGCCCAGGAAGCTGGTCTTTGCTGTTGTAGTACCTGCCTTCTGGAATGACATCTCCCCACCCTTATTTAGACAAGCACTTAAGACGTGGTACATTTCCCAATCTATAAGCTACAGTAGATGGTAAGCCCCTTGTCTGTTGCCTTACTCATGAGATGCTGGTCATTTTTCTCTGGATGCTTCTTTTGTATTATGTGGATTGTTTTACTTTAAATTTTGTGTACTGAATGTTGCCCAGAGTTGTAGTGGAGCCGAGCAGCTTATAAATGTAATAAGTAAATAATAAATAACACTAAAATTTCTACAGATTAATTTTTATACCGCTTATTTTCTGTAAGTTTTGTGGAAACAGTTATTACTACTACAGCCTATATTTTTGGCAATTTAAATAAGGAATATGCACAATCCATCATCACTTAATCCACAGAAGAACAATACAAGGAAGAGAAAGTCATGTCTATTTGCCACAGCAAAAGAATGCCTCCTATAAAGTGCTATCACAGGTTGTACCAACTGTAGATTACCTACTTCCAACTGTTTAATAAATTCAGTTTTAGAAAAATCAGGACCTAGAGAAAGTGAAGATTTGAAAAACAGTACTTTCAATTACTTTCTGTAATGTGGCATACAAGTATTTTTACAGTAAGACACTACCCTGCTCTAGCCTATAAAATACAGTGATTATCCAGTCTTCAAGTTAAGAGTTTACTTCAAAGTTTTTGAGACTATTGGAATATTGATTGATTGTGTACCATCAAATCATTGTTGACTCTTAGCGACCACATAGACAAACTTTCTCCATGACTAATCTATCCCTAACCTGGTCTTTCAGGTCTTCCAGTGGTGCACATATTGGAATATTAGGCAAAAGCAAATCCCAGCTGTATTAGATCACTTCACATTTAAGAAAGAGAGAAAATGTCCTGTTGGATATTAGCACTCAGAAATGTCACTCTTAAAATGGTAATGGCAGCAGACAAGTCACATGCATGGAAATTTAAAGAATGTACATAGTCCCAAAGGCTAATAAAAATTGTGTTATCACATTTTCATAGCACAAAGCAGGAATTCATGCACTTCAGCATGGATGTTAAGTACTATTGAGTAAGTAGTATTAAACTGCCTTGTTAAAGAACTGTTTGCTGCGTCAGATATTGCTCACACACACACAACACACAACCTTCGCTCACTGCAGTTCCAATAATCAACCCCAGATGGCAATTTACATAGTCAACAGTGTAAAGGAATCTGTGCGCTGCTGGCATTCTCAACCTCAATCAGAGAGTATGGGCGTTTGAGAATGTCACTGTTTATTTTTAATTGCTCTGTCCCTCCTTTCGGCAAGTTCAAGCGGTCACAAACGTCGAAGTCTATTAGCAGAATAGGTATGCGATGCCACTTTATTTGCTGGGAGGGTTCCTTGCATTTGGAAAGCAGCTGTTTTGCAATGTCCCCAATGCCCAGTGGGCACCAGCTGTCAATCTCACCAAAAGGTCAGGGCAAAGAAAGGTCAGAGTGTCATAATCCACAGTGTGTTAGATTTGTCTCTTCTGTTGCTTTGTAGGATTGAGAACTGGTAAAACTTCCCACAGGTATCCTAGTTAAACACTTCATGAAACAGATTACAGGAAAAAAAATTAATCTCCAACTGTAACTTCAATTGTCTATATCCCCATATGTGCAATGGGGAGATGCATGCTTACTTAAAACTTAAAATTACAGCTATGCTGAGAATGATTACCATATAGAATACTGAGTGGCATTCTATATGGCAATCATTCTCAGCTTATTTCTGAGATTCAATTGATTTGTCTTTATTGCTTTCTCAGAAGGTGCTGAAGAAAGTTTTTTTCCATGGAGCATTTGGGCACTATGATGGTACCTCTGTGGGTGAAGGAGAGAGTTGGTTGTTGTTCCCTCCAGATGACGCTGTCTTCTGGGGTTTGGTTTGAGTTTTTTTTTTATATATATGTTAAGGTGGTCAGAGGCGTTGGAGTTGGGTGGCCTAAAATTTTGAAATATAAATAAATCAGGCTGCCTCAAGTTCATTTTTTCTTGTTTTCAGGGCGGGGGGCTGTTTTAATCTGAGTACTGCTTTTATATTGTGGAAAGTGGGAGGACTGATGGGTTTGATGTCTATGGTGGTTTTATTTATTTTTGATTCTTGCATTTTGATGATGTAATAAATAAAGAAAATGATATGCCTAAGTAACAAGCAAAGTATACAGGTAGACCTCGACTTACAACCACAACTAGGACTGGAACTTCTGTTGCTAAGCAATGCAGTCATTAAGTGAGTTGTGCTGAATTTTACGACCTTTTTTGCCATGGTCATTAAGCAAATCACATGGTTGTTAAGCGAATCCAGCTTCCCCCATTGACTTTGCTTAGTTGAGGACTACCTGTATAGAATATGGAGCTTTCTTAAAATTAATAATGGATCTCACCTGTTCATAAAGAAATTATATCAATTCTCTATTTCAAGACGAAACTGGATTTTCTGACTTCTTTTTTTAACATCTAGGATTGGATTCTTCTTCTCTATTATGTTACTGTTAAACTATAATGATGAACATTTAGATAAAACTGAATTCATTCATCATGTCCAATTGGGCTGTAAATTGAGTTTAGACAGCTGATAGACTAACATTGAAAGTGGCATTTTCTGGATCTAGAAATTCCTTATTTATCATTTAATCTGATACTTTTTCATTTACATATCTTTGCTTGCTGGCCTTTTTATTCATTAAAAGGAAAGAGTATTGTTATTATTTGTCTTTTTTCCATGTCATAATAATATTTTCTTGAATGATTTCTTATATCAATATTTATTTCAGGAAGGACTGAACCACAAACTGGATTCCTGAAGACTTTTCACTGCAGCCAGATATAGTATTAATCTGATGTTTTTTATTTCATTAAAATATCCTGAATTTGATCTCTTTTCATCTTTCTGCACCAGTAAAATCAGACAAGGTGTTTTCTCTATTTAGGTGCCTTGGCCATTTGAATTTTTCTTTTTCCTTTTTTTTAATTTTATGTCCTTTGTTTCTGGGGCTTCCTCTTTTGTAGAGTCAGCTTCAGGCATCCATTTCCCTTGCAAATTATATTCTTTGTGAATCCCGCCAACTATACTATATTAAGAACCACACAATTCTGTACAGTATTTCCCAAATGATTTCTTAGGTTCCTATTGAGCAAGCCAAATGAAGTTAGGTAAATGGAATACTAAAGGAGAAGGAAAAACAAACTTCTGGCCTTTTCTCTGTTTGATGAAGATGTTAGAGCCAAAAATGATATACTCACCTTCAAGGCAGGAATCTCCACATTGTCTCCAATATTAACAGAGCCTGAAAGAATAGTTCCTGTCATCACAGTGCCTTGACCCTTAATGGAAAAACAGTGGTCAATGGCCATAAGGAATGATCCTGAAGGATCTCTTGTTGGTATATAAGCTTCTGACTTCAAGACCTAAAAGCAAGAGAAAATGAGACCTATATATTGACAAAATGTCACATAAGACACAAAGAAATGAAGGGAAAAGGTGCATGATTGATTTCACCACAGCATAGCTTTCTGTTGCAACAAGACTGGAACAGTCCAAGGTCAAATAAATTGTTTGCACTGCCCAGGAGGTGCAGACTTAGCAGTAGCAACTGGATTTGATTTTCTGCCTTAAAGGTTTCGTGCAGCATAATCAGCTTGGTTAGCAAAATATGTCACAGAAAAGTTTCTGCCAACACCTATGCAAATACTGCAGCAATACTGTGAAGTATAACCATTTGTGACTCTGGGGAAAAAAGGATACTTACTTGTTCTCAGAACGTACATAGATAATTAAAAGCTCAAAATGCAGACTTTTTTCCTGTCCTTTATTTTTACAACTATGTCTAATACAAAAATTATGTTAAGCTTTTGAAGAACAATAAAGACACATTAACCATATGAAGTTTCACTCTCCCTCTATCCAGAAATATATTACTAAGATAGATAGATAGACAGACAGACAAACCGACGACCAATCGACCAACCTCCTCTCACCCTTATGGGTGGGATGTGTCTTCCTCAATCTCGGGTCTTCTACCCAGAGGCCTGGGAGTTTGAGGTTCTGCACAGTATCTTAGCTGTGCTTAGCACTTTACTCTTCTTGACAGAGAGCTCTGATGTTTTTCCTGGGATCTATTGAAGCCAAGCTCCCAGCTTAGGAGTTTGTACTGGGCTTATTGTATTGTAATCACTTATATTTCTCCTTCTTTCTTAAGAATTTCAAGAGCACCAGAAATCTATGAATAATGGATTTATTCTTTAAAGAAGCATCCTTTATCCATGCTTCTTGGACATTACAGTACATCACCAAGTATCCTTCAGATATATGGACTTCAACTCCCATGATCCCTTATAGCCAGCATGGTCCTTTCTGAGAATTCTGGGAGTTCAAGTAACAGATCCAGAAGACACCCACATTAGGAAGGCTGGTCTAGAATAAAGTACCATAGACTTGTAAATTCATCAAGCCATGCTGCATTTACCAGTCTCAGCTCTCACCCAAGGCACGGGAATACAGATGGCTCACTTGCAGAATTGTTAATGAATAGAGAAAAGTACAATTCTATAGATACTTAACTGAGAGTAAATCCTATTAAAATCAGTAGGGTTTACTTCCAAGTAGGCATATATGGAAACACAAGGCAAATTAAGTACAAGCAGAAGGAATTTCAGGGTGGGTAAGCAGTTATGATCCTGTGACCAAAATCCCAGTAACAAAAATTTCAGAAGCTCAAATGAAATTAATACAAGCCATACTTACTCTGTATTAACTGTGTAGCTGGACTGAAATCCATTTGCAAAAGATTAATATTTGTACAGATAATCCTTGGATTAGGACGGCAATTGGGACAGGAATTTCCGTCACTACGTGATGTGGTTGTAAAGTGCAATGTCATATGACTGCATCACTTAGTGACGGCAATCCTGGCTGCTGTTGTAACCCCAACACCATGTGGGTCATTAAGCAGGACATCACGTGACCACGACCTGGGAAGAGGCAGGAGTCCTAGGCAAGCAGGCCAGCAGGTGAGAGCTGCACATGAGAGCTGCGGGTGGGCAGGCAGGTGCCATGGGAAGCCTCTCCAGAGCACAGGCCAGTGCACGGGTACCGCAGGCAGATACAGCAGGTAGGCACTGTGAGCATGAGTGAGTGGGTGCTGCAGGCAGGCAGGTGCTGCAGGGAGGTTCTACGGAGTGCAGGTTGGTGCATGGGTGCCACAGGTAGGCACATGCTGTGGGTGGGTGCTACAGAGTGCAGGCAGGTGGGCAGGTACCATGGGCAGGCGCTACAGAGCATGGGCTTGTGTGTGGGTGCCACGGATGGGCAGGTACCGGGGGCAGGCACTACAGAGTACATGCAGGTGCATGTCGCAGGCGGGCATAAAAGCAGCAGGAGCAGGAGTAACTGTGACCTCCTGCCGGCTTCCCCATTAACTTTGCTTGTAGGAAGCCAGCAGGGAAGGTCGTAAATGGTTATCATGTGATCATGGGACCCTGCAATCATTGTAATTGCGAGCCAGTTGCCAAATGCCTGAATTGCGATTACATGACCATGGGGATGCTGCAATGGCTGCAACTTCACAAACCATAAGTCCCCCTCATTCAGTGCTGTCATAATTTTGAACAGTCGCTGAACGAGTGGTCTTAACCCAAGGACTACCTATATAAAGCTTGTTACATTAACTTTGCTTTTAAAAGACATGCTGAAAGATGGTGGAAATTCTACCAAGCACATGAATCCTATTTTCAATTATCAATTTTTTCAGGATCACATTAAGTAGAAATTAAGATACTGACATTTATCTAATCTCGCAAACTCTGTTTGAACAACAAATCTGTTAGATCTGATGAAGTAGACAGGACCCTTGGAGCTTTTTACTTAGCCACCTGTGTCATAGATCCATGTCCCTCTTGGTCAGCAAGGCTTCCCAGGAGGTAACATGTCATTGGGCCATGCAGTGGTGAATACTTCTTTGAGGGAGGAGGTGGTTTCACTTGCTCTGAAAGAGGCAGTGGTCATCGCTGGATCCAACAAAACTAGACAATTTTCATCTGCTCTCCAACTTCCCCTTTTTAGAGAAAGTTATCTAGAAGATGGACAACTTACAGCTCCAGAGGCCTGAAGGAAATGGATTATCTGAACCATTTTCAGTTGGGTTTCAGACCCGTTATAGTGCTGAGATGGCACTGGTTGATGACCTCTGGCAGGATTGGAATGGAGTGGTGCATCTATCTGGGCCTTCCTTGATCTCTCAATGGCCACTGATACTATTAATCATGGCATCCTTCTGGGTTAGCTCAGGAGATCAGGATGGGAGGTACAGTATTATGGTAGTTCTCCTTTCTCTAGGACCAGTTCCAGTTGGTGTCAGTGGGGGAGAGGTCTTGCTTGAGACCCCTGCATAAAATTGGAGTGTTACTAGCTAGAACAGCCCAAACTTTTCATTTATATTTAGCTGAAAATGTGAGGGATTAATATGAACAGGGCTGTAGAAGTCCACAATTCTTCCAGGCTTTGGGTTAGTTGGTTGAAGCCCTTTGTTTTCGGTGTACGAAATGTTGCTATTGACCAGATGCACCATTTTGTTTATTGTTCTGTCCTCTATTTGGTTTGAATATTTGTTGTATTGTTTTTATGATGTGAACCGCCCAGAGTCGAATGGAGTTGGTGGCATCTAAGTGGAATAAGTTGAATAAATAAATTGCATGGACTTCCCTTCTGTATTATCAAAGAATTGTTTACCAGCCATCACATAATAATAATAGCATTTTTAAGATACATACCTCAATTAGTTTAGAAACTCCTATTGGAGTCACAGTTTCTGGGGCTTCTGGACCACCAGGTTTTGCTGCAACAGAAACTATAGGACATCCATGGAACCTGGTCCAAAAAAATCCACCTGTGAGACCAGTTGTTATTATTTACATTTTTTACAATGAAGTTACAACTCAATCATTTCCCATTGTGGTTTACAAAACATCACTATATTATTAAATTTCAATCTATCTCTAGCAACAAAAACACTAAAGTTAACTGGTTCCTAAAACAATTGTTTTTAAAATTAGAGGCATAACTGGAAATAATACAGTTTTGAATGGCCCCCAATCATTGAAGATCCCCCCATCTGAGCTCTGAAATAAGTACCTACATGAGAGCTTTCATATTTCTTGTGGACAGACTAGTACCTTCCTGTTATACTGGCTTTGAAATAACAGAAGGATAATCTAATTTCCTGTAGCATCACAGATTGCTTTTTTTGCTCTCACCAGCATAATTAAGCTATCACCTAGACAAGTTTGTTACTTTGCTATTTGCTCCATGGTGCCAATGAAATTCAGCTACAGAAACTCAATCATTTCAACATTGAAAGGATGTACTTAAAGCTAAACTAACATTTATTCTAGGCATATTTTGTTAAACAAACCAGAGTCAAATTACCAACAAGCAAAGTAAATTACAGCTTAATTGATCAATACCCGGTTTGCTTACCATTCACCTTTTACACCAATATCTATAATGTACCTCATATGCCCTAGCAGCAATAAAGGAATGGAAAGTATGCATAGACAAGGCATGGAACTTGCCTCAGAAATCTTCAACAGCTCGCGTTGAAGCTCCTGTTTCCTCCCCAGTTCCTGTCAACCCAACAGGTCGAAAACTCACGTGAGTAGATAAATGGGTCCTCTCACTCTGGTGGGGGGAAAAATGCTGGCGGCAC